AATTTTTTCAACTACTTCGTTTATTTTGCCTTGAGATAAAAGGTTACTGTCAACTGAATCTAATTCGGCAACCAAATCTGAAATTTTGTCCTTATCAATAAATTCTACGAATTCATTCTTTTTCTCAACATCCCATTTTTGTACCCGTTTTACTTCTCTTGCATTTTCCACGCTGTTCTCAGCAATATGCACATCTTCCTCAATACCATCTTTAAAATTTAAAGATAATATTAATGGAGAGTGGACATCTGAGAACAGCTTGGAAAAGTCTTGAACATACATATTTACAACGAAACACAGAAAATCATAAGTACAAATAAAATAATCAACATCACTGGCCTGACGGCAAGTACATTTGCCTTCTTTGTCACCATTAACTCTACCATTAAGGATAATTATATTATTGTTTTTACACATTTCTAACAACATGTTACCATAAGAGTTTTTACTTGTATCCATACTACATCTAACTTTAGACATATCATATAATTCTAGATTGTTTAAAATATCTACATTATCAGTATCAACAATATCATGCTGACTATGAACAATTTCAATATATTCTACATCTCGACTAGTTCTACTATTGAAATCACCATTTAAAAGTATATACTTGTACTCTACAGAAAATTTCAAAAATTCTTGTTCTAATTCATTAAAAGCATCAGGGACCTTATATACAGAATTTTCTGGAGGAATATAAATATTTCCTATCATGACATCTTGGTCAGTTTTAAGTAGATCGGAAGAAATTTTCCACCAATATACTAAACTACTGAAATTTTCAACTGGCTTTACAAAATTTTCCAAGTGTGATTTATAGCCGAAAGCTATGCCCCCCGATTTAACTCTTGCTATATTTTTTCTATTTTTCAGATGAAAAGTAAATCCTGGAATATTTATCTTATCTAGATCATCTGTTTTAGTTTCAACAAGAGAAATAAAATCAAATTTCTGAACCATATCTATAAATTCTGGATAATGCATACGTTTAATTACACCACAACAATTTAAAGTTAACATATTAATTTTACAGTTACTCGTTCTAGTTAAACATTGTTCACTGTCAGGTAAGTTTGTCATACCTTACACTTGTTCTTTTCTGGGGCTCCCTATGAGTGTTCTGTTGAGTTTCGCGATTCCCTTCGTCGTCTCTTGCGCGACTGGTAGTTTTCAGGCGTATTTAATACTTCTCTCCGATTGTTAGGCGATGAAGAATTTAAAGTCTGATGGTTGTATATTACTCCGTCTACATATAGGATGTCTCTAACAAGTCTCACACGATGTCCTTCAGCTTTCATCTCTTTCATAATGGGATAGAGACTTTTTCTGGCCTGCTCGATGGCTTCTGGAAACTGTTTGTTTACACCGTATTGTTTTCCCTTTAGTCTATATGTGTTTGACATTACCATTGCCAGATCATTGTGGTAAATAAACCTTGCGACGATAGGCCGAGGTCGTCCACGTTTTCCAGGTGGGGCTCCGGTACCGAACCTATGCACATTCCCTAGTTCAAGCTTGTGGTAGATGTGTAGCTCGTCTTTAATAAAACCGCGAATCAAGTTTTCTGTGTTTTCGATTTCTGGTTCTCTTAGGCCTGTGAAAATGAGATTGTTTTTCATTGAGCGACATTGTAAATCAATTATGGTATCTTTAAGCTCATAATTCTCTTCCTTAACCTCGTTGATCGAAACCTTTATTTCCTGTTTTAATTCGTGTGACATGTCCTCAAAATCATTTACCGCCTTGCTCATCGCTGTTCTTATTCCACTCACTTCTTTTACATTACTCTCATGCTTGGCTTTAAAATCGTCAATGAAATCGCTAAGTCCTTGCATGTTTCTATTTGTCTCGCTGTTATCTTTCTTCATTTGCTTCATGTCCCTATCGATATTAACGTTCTTATTCTTTATAGAAGCAATATCAGATTCGGTCGTATCACACTTGCTTTTTAGCTTATTTACATCAGACTTCACGTTGCATACTTTCGTTTTAAGCTCACCAAAGTTATGTACCATTGTATTTAAAGTTCTATTTATCTGTGTAACTTGTAGCATCCCTTTTTCAATTGTGGTTAATCTCTCATTCATTCCAACCATAAGCTGATACAAGTTTTCAAGTGTTACACATTCCTTAGTTTCGCCATACAATACTTCTCTACTTTCATTGACCAATTCCGCTACTGTGTTTGTACTATCCATTGTCGCACTCGTATAGAGCCTCAAATCGTCTCAAATATGGATTGTACTGTTTATGTATTGTATATACCCCGGGGCCCAGGTAGGTATTAGGGAACCAATTCTGGTATATAAACAAGCACTCTCGGGTATTATCAATAACTTTAAGTAATGTCAATAGATTATCTAAGTTTTCCCAAAAAATATCGTCTTTCAGCAGAAAGTGAAAACGGGAGCTGGATCCCACATCCCATCGTTAATCATGTTCTCAGTTACATTTCGAAAATCTTTTGAAAATTATATAAATATATCGACTTATCTGCAGAGCGATTTTATACGTGCCTCCATCGTACATTCGTAACTCTCGTATTCACTCCAGTTACGTGAAATATTTCTAAAAGAGGACTATAATAGATCGAATGAAAGATCATGGAAAGCAAACCACGAGTTGAGGAAAGGTGGACATATTGAGGATATCTGCTGATAACTATGCTGAACCCAGGGGCGGATCCAGGATTTTTGAAAGAAGGCGATGTTATTCAATAAATTTAAACATGTGTTAAACTAATTATATACCGCCTTGGACGATTTTATGCAAAATGCAAAATAAATCATACAAATCGTGAAAAACATGATATAATAATTTAATTTGGCGATCTTCACGCCCCTGGATCCGCCACTGGTTGGCGCTTCAAGGGTTTTCAAAAAGAGGTCCCGTGGGAATAAAACAAAAAAAGGGTTGTTTATTTTATAAAAAAAAATGGCCTAGTAATGAATTAATGAGATTGATTTTGTCCCAATATTAAATTTCGTATTATCGTTTGCTTTGCAATAAAGACTATTTGGTGTATCAATTGATTACACAAAATCACTATTTTTGTCAATATCTGCTTTTTCCATTTATTTTATTTGTATAATTAAATAGAAAATGAAAGTAAGGATCACTCTATACCATGTATACAGGATCATACAGATATATTATGAAGTCGATCTAATATTTAAATGGAATATCGTGGCATAAACAGACTTTTTCTATTTTATACTTTACACTTTTAGTCAAAGTATTTACATACTACATTTTATTGACTTAAAGAGATCATAGAATTAAATAGTGGCTGTAAATTGTTTAAATGAATAAAATGTACAAATTACAGAGTCATTACACAATTACAGTAGTAGGTCACGTGCATGTGAATGTTTGTTGGACAGATTTATATTTAAACAAAATAAGAAACCCGATGAATTCACATTAAGCATGTTAAGGAACCCGTAACACTTACGTGTGTGTGTTTGTAGTTCAAGCAGTAATTTCATTAATTGTAAGATCGTCGTGAGCGGAGAAATCAATAACCGGAACAAAAACATACGATTTTAAATGTCAGGTTGCAGTTATGTCCCCTTTATCATTTAAATTTGCAGATAAATCTGTCTACAAATCAAATTAATCCATAGACTTATATTGATAGATATTAACACACTGTTAAACTTCCATTTTAATTACTAATCGTAAAAAAAAAACCCAAATGTATACGACACACAGCATGTCCAGAGAAACTATTATTTTAATAGGCCTATACGTATACAAATATTTCTCTGAAAGGTTATAATTATGAAAGCGCTACAAGTCATTTACATTTTCACGCTACTTGTATAAATAACAAGTAAACGATTTTAAAATTAAAATAAACCGAAAAATTATCATAGTTGTTTGCGACTTAATGTCCTGTGGCAACTTATGCCTCATTATAAATAAGAGGATGTGGTATGAGTGTCAATGAGACTGCATATCATCAACCCTGAACTTAGATGCGGATTGGACAGGAAGCGGAGCCGCAAGTACATTTAATTGGAATTGGAAACCATAGCGTAATGAGTAATGTAATAAATCTAGTCATTAATTAGATCACTAACATCCGATGACTTGTATAATATTCAAGATTACGTTTGATTACATCTACAGACCTGAATATGATTGAAATATTTGTCACTGGACTTTCAGCAAAAATCAATCTATACATCTTACATAACCACACGGAAGCTTCCTCATAATAAGCCTTAAGGCCAGGTAAAAATGAATAAAGTTAAAAAAAATATTTATCACATTTTCACGGAATACTTAGTTATTCACTATATGAGGGTTTGAATGGGGTTTACAGAATAGTGAATAATGGGCAAAACATAAATTGTTAAATGATATAAAGAAAACAGTTACGAAAAAAGGATACAGGATGGTTAGATATAAAGAAAAGGGATACAGGATGGTTAGATATAAAGAAAAGGGATACAGGATGGTTAGATATAAAGAAAAGGGATACAGGATGGTTATATATAAAGAAAACAGTTCAAAAAAGGGATACAGGATGGTTAGATATAAAGAAAACAGTTCAAAAAAAGGGATACAGGATGGTTAGATATAAAGAAAACAGTTCAAAAAAGGGATACAGGATAGTTAGATATAAAGAAAAGAAAATAATGCATAGTTTTGGGAATTATAAAGAATATAGAGAATACTGGGTCTAATGAATAGAGAAAACGGCCTCAAATGCGTAATAGAAAATTTAACCCCTACCAAGGTCCTCTTAAATGGAAATACTATACAATCCCTGAACAGTGTTGGATCTACATCGCTTCATAGGTCAATTATTTCTATCTACAAATAGATGTCATTGTTTCTGTATGATTACCCTGTGCAGCAATTTGTTTTACATTGGTGTTATTGGGAAGACAACACCAATCAATTAGAAAACAGTTTATCTCCGTAGAGATGATTTATACAATATCTTAAGCATCACACACAAACATATCTGTTAAATATTCAATATGATTCCTCGCTGAAAACATCAATTTAATTTGCAGAATAACAGGTTTAGAAAAAAATCTTTATTTGCTAGGATGCGGAAAACACGTGACGAGAATTCGATTTTCTTCTTCATTAGTTCGCGCACCTCAGCAGCGGTAGTTTAACTCTATCACTAATTATTGTATGGAAGTGCTAAAAGATCCATTATGTGAAAAAATATCCAATACACAATTTGTGATTTTCTTTTGAATGGTTTATAAATTGATGCACTTATGTTCGATACTTTAATACTGGATGATTTGTGGTTGATTGCAGATCCTTGATTAAAGGTTAGTTTTTTTTCTCTTTTTAAAAGGTATAAGCATTTTACAATAACAATAACCACATTGGAACTGCATGGTTCTGAAGCAATAAGTTTTAATAGATTTTAAAACAAATATGTTGAGTATTCTCGAGTAGCTAATCTAATGTATTGAAACTATTAATAGATCACCACTGCTAACCTCAAACGCTTTTATTGCTACTAGAATGACAGTTTTGAGATATTTATAGAAACATATTCTTCCCATATTACATACACATTTATATTATGCGAAAATTGCGGCAGTGCGGTGCATATAGTTGCTTACATCCAAGTCATTTGGACTCTGGTGGATAGCTATCTCATTGGCAGCAATACCACATCTCCTTATTTCTATGATATTTCTTTCGTCCAAGTCCGCATTGTTTCTATTGCCCCTGTAATTTATGGCAGACCTTCTTATTCCGCAGCAATGAACCTCAGTAAATTTTAACGATTGAGAATAGTAGGGATTAAGAACAAAAGCCTCTTAAAAAAAGTCTGCTATAAGTGGATAAGTGTTGTTTCTACAGATACCCAGTGTGAGGACCTTTGACTACTATCGATCTTAAAAGTATGCCATGGTTTCTTCTTTGTTGGTATGGAGAATATGCCTGCCTTTCTTTTTGAACCAAAATTTAAGTACTTTGGGCATACTTTAAGTGCGATCATTCTTTGGTACAATATTTCATTAATGTGCCATGGCGGTCGAGTATAGTAAAACTTTCAGGTCAGGCTGGGTACATTGAAATAACGGACAATTATCCAATGTTGTGTAGTCTTGTTGTTAAAGAAAATATACAAGTAAATTGACAAATCTACGATTTATTAAAATTCCATTTCAGGCGAATATTTACATAATATACAGTTCGCAAAATGTATGATTCAAAGATTCATCGGTACATCACTGTCACACATCACAAACGGATTTCATTACATTCCGTATAAAAATAAGCAACAGTGTCCAATACTGTGAACACAAAAAAAAAATCACGCATAGTGTCCAATACTATGCGGACAAAACCACGCAACAGTGTCCAATACTGTGCGGACAAAAACCACGCATCAGTGTCCAATACTGAGCGGACAAAAACCACGCATCAGTCTCCAATACTGAGCTGAGCGGACAAAAACCACGCAACAGTGTCCAATACTGTGCGGACAACATATCAAAACAGTTGAATAGTAATGTAACACAACTTTCTATGAATCTATAAGTCCTCCCAAGATCTGCTAATATCTGCCCAGAATAAGAAAAATCTTAACCTTATATACCTATCATCTCCAAATATTCTCCAACTAACCTAAATAATCTCCAAATATTCTCCAACTGACCTAAATAATCTCCAAATATTCTCCAACTGACCTAAATATTCTCCAAATATTCTCCAACTCTTTGTTTACAAAAACAAAACATATAAATCATATAAAAGTATTTACTACGTGACCTACAGAACATGCTATGTTAATCTCTTATTGCAGGATAGCCATTTGACTTAATGACTTTAACAGACGATAACCAAAACTTTAATATGACAAAACTAATTACATTGGAAGATGAAATAACACTCTAACATTTATTTACTATTGCTTGTGTATGTTGTCATTCAATCTAGCTGTTAGTTTTCTATTTAAATTTTCACATTTTATAGCGTACAATACGGTGTGGGTTCTGCTCATTGCTGAAGGCCGTACGGTGACCTGTAGTTGTTTTACAGTTTTGTTTTGTTTTTGTTGAATAATTGTCTCGGTGACAATCAAACCACATTTCGTTATTTTTATACGATTTGGTAATTTACCAACCAAGTTGATATGTAACAACGTTGGTGTTGGCCCAGAGATTTCTAGTCTATAATTTATTACCATTCGAATTCTGTGTAAGCTTTAATTAACAGATAATTCTACTTTTGACTTGGGGCTCACTGCCGAGCGATTATGACTATTTATTAATTTATTTAAGTAATAGCTAATCTGATTAAAATCAGATCTTCCACTTTGCTCTGTTAGATTTGATTGACACTAACACTAGCGAACATCATATTCAAATTGCCGATAAATCAACCTGCATCACCTGACTACATTCCTGTGTTATATTTCAATATCAACTGTCAATGTAAAAAGTTCAAGATTCCACAAAACAGCTGTTTCATCTCTTATAAGTACGGTCATAGAAGGTACGCATATCTACTGTTTAGTGAGTACCTATAACGTAAGTTATTCTGATTAATTACATTGCACCAGACAGGTTTAAAGCCTTCGAAAGGGAGCTTTCTGTCGAAATCTGTTTTCACCAATCATGAATATCAACAATTAGGGGAGAGGGTTAGGGGCCATATATTTGGACCATTGTAGATAATTATTATAGTAAGTTATGCTAGCACTTTAGTCACCTACGTTGACAAATAAACACGTCTTTATGGTAACATCATGTTCATAAAAGATTTATGTGATATCGTTAGATATTCTTTTCTGTGTGCTTGAAAGTTGTAAAGGAAATACCCCCAACACCACCACCACCACCACCACCTGGGCACCCTGTCCCCCTCCCCCTTAATTCGGCTCTGGTTACTTTGACTTGTATTGATTACTAGTATTTCCTAGTTTTCATTACTTTAAGTCTCACTAATCTCGCGCAAGTCCTTTCTTCAATTCAGGGTATATCCCAAAAATCATTGTCTGTAAATATCTGCTATGTTAAGGAAAATCTCTTCACACAATTAAGTTAACAAAAAACGACTTATCTATGATAATATCAAATAAATGGTTTAGGTAATTTCTTCTTATAAACGCATCACAAATGTATAAAATGAACAAAAATCATTTCAAGTTTTAAGAAACTTAAAGAGTGCGTTATTAAATAGTGGTAGATCGTTAAGCATTTTTATGCATTTCTTTCACAGGTGTTTTTTGGTTTTGTTGCAGGTCTGCAGAGTTCTGATCTTTCATCACATATATTATCGGTGCAATTCTTGACTGGAATTTTCCCTTAGGATTTAATGTTTTCATATTCTTGGTGAATGCATTGCCACTATATGACCCTAGAAATAATGGTTTATGTACTTTGTCCCACTAGCACGATCCTTGCATCCTACGTTATACATAGATTGGTAAGAATAGCAATGCACAATAATTTTGTAAGAGTTTAGATTTCAGATTTCGAAAATCTATGAAAAAGAAAGATTATTTAAAACTTAAAATTTAAATAATACGTTTCAGTCGACAAATACAGTTCATTCTCTTGCTCCTATTCCGCATGGTGACATGCATATGCTTTGATATTCAATCTCGTCCAATTTTGTCTTTGGTAGATACTTGTATCATTGATAATCATACCACATCATCTTAGTTTCTTTTGCATACTCGAGACAGTCTATAGTAAATCAGTTCTGACAAGACGAACAAAAACGTGATTATTGAAATGGATTTAGTGAGACAGAATCAATCGTTTGTACTGTTTTATAAAACGTGAAACAAGGTTACTTGAACGGTATCAGTATAGACTATTGTATTATAGATATAGGAAGATGTGGTATAACGTGAAACAAGGTTACTTGAACGGTACCAGTATAGACTATTGTATATAGATATAGGAAGATGTGGTATGAGTGCCAATGAGACAACTCTCCATCCAAGTTACAATTTATAAAAGTAAACCATTATAGGTCAAGGTACGTGATAATACCAGCATAATTCGATTTTTTTTCTCTCAGTATTTTGTCTCCGTCGTCATTTTTAGATGTAGAATGAATCTGATTTATAATAGATGTTTATAGTGGTAGTGCTGGTAGTTTGAGTTTAAGTAGCGATTATCAGGTTTTCTACAGATTGACATTGTAAAATATCAACTGCGAGTCACAATATCGATTTTTTTTGTCGAATGAGCATATCGAACGAGTCCAAAAAGTGTTTTTTTTTATTATAATTAATGATATCTATGTTTTTGCATTGGTTTGAATCATGTCTGAAGTGTTGACTAGGGTTTCAGATATTTGTCAATGTTTGTGGTCCTCTGAAAATGAACAATCAAATATACTCATAGGACAAAAGGATAACTACTGATACAGATTTATATTCTGATAAAACCTTTGAATTGTTCCTGTGAGAATAACGAAACAACACTATTGACTCGATTTTGATAGAATTAATTTCCATATTCGTTACCATATCATCCATGTAGTAGTGAGAATTAATTTCTATATTCGTTACCATATTATCCATGTGGTAGTGCGTGCTGAAAACTACTTAATTTTAACTCTATAGAATGATTATATACATTTCGGAGTTATTTTTAAATGTTATATTCGCAACCACTCTAGATGATAACAAAACCATGTTGATTCAATACTCGCTTTTTATTTGATCTCATTAACAAGGTTGAATATTTATATATTTTATTGCAATCCCTGATGACACTCAATTACAGGTGCTAATGGCATATCTTGAATAGTAAATGTAATTGAAACCTTTGCCGAGTCTGATATACTTCCCGACCCTGTAACATGATTAAATACACTATAGGTGATCAGAAAAGGAAAACATGTTGCTAGTAATTTGAATTATAATGGTATTATCTTGTCTTCTGGATTTTAATGTTACACTACTGTCTCAGTTTAGGGTGAAGGTTGGCGCCTGTTAAAACCCGCTGCATTTTTATGCACCTGTCCTAAGTCAGGAGCCTGTTGTTCTGTGGTTGTCGTTTGTTGGTGTGCATGGTTCATAGGTGTTTCTCGTTTTTTATATAGATTAGACCGTTGGTTTTCCTGTTTGAATTGTTTTACACTAGCTATTTTGGGGACCTTTATAGCTTGCTGTTTGGTGTGAGCCAAGATTCCGTGTTGAAGGCCGTACTATGACCTATAATTGTTAACTTTTTATACATTGTGACTTGGATGGAGAGTTGTCTCATTGGCACTCATACCACATCTTCTTATTCATATGGTATTCTTTTGTAGCCTCGGATTATCTTATGGCTTTCTGAGTTTTGTAATT